AAGATACGTTTATTATTGTTGTGATAAAGAATTATAAGAATATGCAAAAGATTACTCCTCTCTCTCCGCCTCAAAGACCAGCCTCCTCCTCGCGAAGGGCGTCTCGGACCTGCGACCGCCAAACCGTCTGGTCTTCCGCACTTCCTTCCTCCGACAGGCCACTTCTTTCAACACCGTGCTTGTTATTCCAATATGTGGTGTACACATTGTAATATTTCCATCACATATATTGATTGACGTTGTAAGAATCAGAGAATCACCAGAAGTAGATTTGGACTCGCTCAGTTCCATGTGTGGGGAAACAAGGTGCAGAAAACTAGCTGAAGTGTTCATCGTCATTAGGTCTCTGATAGTGTAATGAGATGCAGAAAGATCTGACTTATATTATAGTTCATGACATGTGATTCAATGGGCAGATGAGGTCATGGGGTTTAAAGGTCTATAAATATTAGTAGGTACTTTGAGAATTGGGATGTTAATGTTAAGATTTGATGAGCAGATAAGGTCGCGCGGAACTGTGATTACAAATATCATTAGTAGGTATTTTGAGAATTGGGATGTTTATGTTAGGATATTTCGGCTCCTAGGAAATATTAATAGGAGTTCTCCCTGTTACTGAGATGCTAAAAATCTCAATAGAAAATATACGCTTATACAATGTGTTATTTTACATGGATATTTATTGTATCATTCGCCACGAAAAGCATTCCAATATTTTGTAAACTTTTGTTATTTGATAAGAAGGATAGGGAAAACATACGATGAATCCAGAAATCGTAGAATTGGTCTTTGAGAAATCTGAACCTTAAGGGAATAAGATCCTGAAATCCCAGCAAACCAGGAAGCAAGAGCTCGATCAACTAGACTTTATGTTCTTGCTGTAATGCCGAAGTGAACTTGTAAGCTGAACGCTTTAGCCTACCGCAGTCTTTGATTTTAGTTATATTTATTTGCAATTTCGTCGTTTTGATAAAGGTAGAACATATGCTTTCTAAACCATTAGTGGGGACCGTCAGTGAGATAAACTTGATGCTGTAGTTTCTGTTTATGAACTGTTTTATTGTTATTCTTGTAAGTAACTGGCAGTGCCTTTAAAGGCACCGTCAGTACTTCCAAGCATTACAGCTTTCTACTTTAAGACTAGGGCAATTAAGATTTGCGAAGGTGGCGTCTTCCTGTCTTATTTATGGGCCGGACACTGCTCCAGTGTAGTGCCAAAATCCTTGGCAGCGGTGGGATTCGAACCCACGCCTCCGAAGAGACTGGTGCCTTAAACCAGCGCCTTAGACCGCTCGGCCACGCTACCTATAAGACATACTGATATTTCCGATAGTAATTAAGACAAAATAAATAAACATATAAGTAACTGGCAGTGCCTTTAAAGAAACAATAAAGCGTTTGTGATGCAATTATTTTATCGCATCAGTCATTGGTCTTCACAGATACTCGATAACGTTACTATGGTGACATGTTTATCTCCAAATTGTTTATCAGTTAATTAGAGTTAGAATTGTTTTTTTTATCAGCATCAAACGGCCTGCTTATTTCCAGGAATGTTCAGGTCTTCTAGATAAAATAAAAGTTTCACTCATGCATTCCATTCGCTCTGTTTCGTGAGTTTAAGTCCGGCATCTTCAATCCAGGAATGCTTGACATGTTTGAAATGATTTAATTTCATTTTTTATCATGATTGTTTCCCATTCATCTTTATGTACATGTTACTGTGATTTTGATTATGTGTATGTATAAACGTAAGCATATATGTAAACGCCCGCGTGTTTTGGGAAGTGGTATAAATTATATATATCCAAGTACTTTATGTCAAGTCCGTTTTGAATCATCAGCCGATCTCAAAAGTTATATAGCCTAGTTACTAGAAGTCCTGTTTATAATCCTATGAAAACCGAGTTGTTGAGGCCATCATGCAAAATGTCACAAGTCTACCTGGTTGTCAATCAAGACGGTCCAGGGAATCTGGAAGGAATTGCATGCCATCGAGGAGACGTTTTATTTTTTAATAGGTTCATTTTTTAGTAATGGCAAAATGGAAATCGTCATGTTTATTATTGTAAATCGCATATACAATATTCTCTCTTTCTCCACCTCAAATGCCAACCTTCCCCTTGCGTTGGAAGTCCCAGACCTACCAAAGCGTGGAAGGCCACCGCCTCCACCACAGTGGTAGTCCTTCCAGGGTTTGGTGTGCACAAAGTAAGGTTATTGTCATAACGCTGAGTGTTTGTTGTCGCGGATGGAACTAGAGAATCTTTAGTAAAAATGAATTCTGTGTAGGATGAAGCTGGGAGAAGAAATCTGGAGAGGATAATCGCTCACTCAATTCCATGCGCAGAGAGACACGTGCCGGGGAAGGTGAAGTTGCCGTCGTGATCAGTCCTTTGATAGCGTGGCGAAATCGGAGAAGATCCTGGGCTGACTTCTATTAACACGCGGAATGCATCAGGTCTTCCGGTTTCAAATGATGTTAATATTAACAGAAGACGTAACTTTACTTAAGATTTGTTGGGAAATGTTCGAAGAGATGATTTCATTTGCAAAAATAATTGTTGAAATTTGACTGTATAAAACATTTAAGATATGAAAGAACATAAAGTCATTTATCCTAGATTCTGTAGATTTCTTTGTCTATATGTGCGTATACGCGCGTGCGTTACACATGTGTGTGTGTGTGTGTGCATGTATATATAGAGATGTATGTATATATGTGTACATGTAGTGTATTTCTCAGCTTTGATTATTATATCTATCTGCCCGATCCTTTCCCTTCCCCGAATCATGCACAAACGAAAGCAAGCGCTGCCACCAACAGATTAAGGATGTCTGTAGCCATAGTATCACGTGTGTGTGTAATGTTCGTGCATGTGTTCGGGACTTTGGTAGCGTGGTAATGCCTGGGAGACGTGTGCGAGTCTCGTTCGCATAGCAGGCTGAACGAAAATGTCCGTGGGAAGCAATAAACTGATGTGAATTTTATAATAAGTAATTTTCACGAAATAAACAAAGTCCACGGGTGGGCAACATTTAGGCGTACTGCGCGACCTTGAGATTGCCTTCGGCGGTGTCACGTTTTCTATTCATTCATTCATTTTCGTCACCCCTATGACACCTATGTTTACGGTCTCCTTTCCTTTACAAAAGTCTATTTCTCCTTTAGTGTAAAAATGTTTCACCATCCCCGATTGTTTGGCTATTTTCACCCTTTTCGTACGTTTTCTTATTACCTTTACTATTATTTCTCAATATGTTTGTGGGCAATATCACTAGCATTTGAGAGAAAAGCAAGTGTCACATAACACTAATTACAATTTTATTGGCTTAAAACACTGAATAAAGCACTTATAAACATGAGTTGATGTTCTGGGGATCGTAAAATATAGACAAGAAAAATAACTAAACGAGAAAAACATTCAGTTTTACATAGAATAAGAGGCTCCATTACAAAAAGATAAGACGCACTCAGGAGACAGATTACCTTAATTATATCATGTGCAGATTCCCCTTGACCCAAAACACGACACTGTCATGACCCTAAAACAAGTGCAACTTCACTCAGGGCTGATGTGAGAGTGCTCCCCTGGAGTCGCCGAACACTTAGCAAAGTCCAGGTAGGACAGCGTAAATGAGTGCTTTCCAAAACCTCTGCTCGCTGCGCTCTCTCGTCTCTGTGTGTGTGTCTCTCCCTGTCTCGCGCGCGCTCGAGCAAGGGTCACCAACTCCCCTTCTTACCCCCAGGGAATGGTTTCAGTTTGCTTAAAAATAAAGTCAGTAAAAATCTCACTAACAATAATAAATAATGATAATAAATGATAAAAATATATTTTAAAATTACCCGTATTCTAAAAATACTTTCTTTTTAAGAACCATCTTCCTGCTGATTCGTGGCATTTTAATGTTTAGTTTTTAGGGAGCGTCTTAGATTAATATATAATTTCCATAAAAGGAACAATGATTTAAAAGATTTCCTTGTTTTAAAAAATAACTTTAAAATGATTGAAATAAAATAAAACACACGGTGTATATGTATGTTGTCCCGTTTTCTTCATGTTGTCTCCTGAAACATGGAGGATAGACTTTCGTATTTCCGGCCACTTAAGGCAAGGATCTTGGGTCGCAGCTGTGGCAGGAGTGACCCGCTGTTGCGTCTAAATGCGGTTCACTACATCCACACACACGTGTTTATATGTGTACATATATATTTGTAAAGATATGCATACAGTATATGTATATATATGTGTGTGTGTGCGTGTTTGCGTATGTCTAGGTTTATTTGATTTTAATGGTATTCATTTGCAATTTCCCTTTTAATACAGGTGGAAGACACCGCTACTTTAAATGTTTTATTGGGAGAAGACGAAACAGGAAATACTGATATACACGTTTATTATTGTTGTGATAGTATATAAAGATATGCAAAAGATTACTCTCTCTCCGCCTCAAAGACCAGCCTCCTCCTCGCGAAGGGCGTCTCGGACCTGCGACCGCCAAACCGCCTGGTCTTCCGCACTTCCTTCCTCCGACAGGCCACTTCTTTCAACACCGTGCTGGTTATTCCGATATGTGGTGTATACATAGTAACATTTCCATCACATAACATATTGGTTGACGTTGCAAGAATCAGAGAATCACCAGAAGTAGATTTGGACTCGGGTGAACTTTGCAAAAGGTCAAAGTTTGAAGACGATAACCTGTCGCTCAGTTCCATGTGTGGAGAAACAAAGTGCAGAAAACTTGTTGAAGTGTTCATCGTGATCAGGCTTGTCATAGTGTAATGAGATGTGGAAAGATCTGACTTATATTATAGTTCTTAACATATGATTCTATGGGCAGATGAGGTCATGCGATTAAAAGGTATAATATTAGTAGGTATTTTGGGAATGGGGAA